TAGACCCCAAGCTTCCCGTACCGTGATCACAGACCCCCTTCCCTCCCCCCCCTCCCCCCCCTCCCTCTCCTTCACACTTGGCCCACCGAACCCCCATATTCTACCCCCCCCCCACCCCCACCCACCCACTCCCTCCCCATGATTCCAGAATGGTTCATTCCCTACCCCATGATTCCAGATAGACTCTCTCCATGACCTCAGACCCCCTCCCTCCCCCACCCTCCCCTCCCCCCATGACCCCAGTCCCATGACCCCACTGCCACTAACCCGTGACCAAAGAGGAGGAGGGGGGGGAGGGGGGAGGAGGGAAATGTATGTACACGTCGTTTTTTTTCTCCTTTGAGTTCGACCTTTTTTCGTCAACTGCAATACGTACCGTGTGAGTAAGTCAAGAGACCTCCCCCCTCGACAAATCTTTAAAGAATTAATAACCACGTCCACAATTGTCCCGAAAAAAAAAAACGCGTGGGATCTTGGGGGCAAGAACAGCATATACTCCAACCCCATGAAACTGCCTCGGCGTTCACAAATCAGTCATATAAAGGAAATCAATAATACGGCAAAACTTAAATCATCATAATCACACGCTTTAAATACATTCATATCAGAATAATATCAATATATATCGGAATAAAACAGAACAAAAGAAAGACCGACACCACGAAATATTTCCGCGGTGGCCTTGCAAGTTACGATGGCGTACGACGTGGATTTTTTTTTTATATATACACCGGAAAATAAATACTATGTATAACTAAGAGCTTCAGATAAACTCGAATGATTTCGGAATATCACCCAAAAAAATGTTAATATGTCATCGAGAAGCTAAGAAATCAGGAGAGTAGACAGCTGGAAGGAGTCCGCGGTACGACACCTTTTCCCCCTGACTCCGGCGCCGCGTTGGAGGAAGAGCTTGGTGTCTTCATGAGGTTTTGGTCGAATTTTTATCGCAAATGACACGAAATTATGGACGAAATGGCGTTTCTAAGGTAAGCCCTCGAGTGCGCACTGTGCGGACGATAGCGGTGGAAAAGGAGGGAAGGGGAAAAGGGGGGAAAACGGCCCGAGAGAGGGAGAAAACACGGTCGAAGTGTCACCAGTTAGCCCGAAGCAGCGGCGTTCGTTGACTGGAGCCGCGATGTGATCGTCTCTTAATTAATTAATTGTTTAATCAGCGCTCTCCTCTCTTTTTTTTCCCTCTCACGAGATTTCCTCTCCTCCTCCTCTTTATTCGCGCGTCGCCGCCCCCAGCCTCCAGAAAAAGGGGGAGAAAAGAACGAGAACATGTCTTAGAGGCGTGAGACTGGCTTGGCGAAGACCTGGGTCCTCCCGGGTGTGAGGGACCTCCTGCGAGTCCTGCGAGTCCTGCGAGGGTGGTGTGAGGGTGTGGGGGTGTGGAGGTCGTGGGTTTCGAGTTCCTGCGTGCGTTCGTGTGTGGGAGGCCGATTCGAAGGGCCTGGGTCCTCCCGGGGTTGTGGGGGAGGGTTCTGATAGGCCTATGGAATCCTGCCGGGGTTGGTTTTCCTGGGGTTTTTATTTTTGAGTTTTAGGCTCTGTGAGGTCGAGGTCGAGGTCGAGATCGGGGTTGTTTCATTGTATGCGTAGGGGTGGTTGGGTTGGTGCATGGTGGTTGCGTGTTTTGGGGTTGTAGGTCAGGAGGTTGTGGTTGTAGGCGTCGAAGTTAATCGTGTTTTGTTTTTTCGGTTAAGGCATGGTATTTAGCATTTTTTTGATTCTCTGCGGGTATCGTTAATTTCTTTTCTGGGGGTGGATTATATACCGTTGCTTATAATTGTATGCTGTAGAAGATGCATGGTTTTTGAAGCGGCACATTTTGATCAAGCATCAATTTCTTAAACTTGTGGCTGTGAAAATATCCCATTTATGTTTGTGGATGTCAGTTTTGGCGAATGTTCAGAATAGGACCCCACAGAAACCGAGGAAAACAAAGGTAATAGTCGTAAAGAATGCCTAAAACATTAAGTAGTAAGAGAGATAATCTTCGGAAGGTAAAAAGCGCAGTCACGACCACTTATCAAAAGACTACAAATGTATGACTTGTATGGGTACGCTGTTATATGACCACTTATCAAAAGACTACAAATGTATGACTTGTATGGGTACGCTGTTATATTGCGGCCCTCCAGCTGTCATTTTATATTGCCAAGATAGACCTTGTAGACCTCCCTTGTGATTTATTGTAAGTAATGCATTGCTCGAAGTTCTCTCTTGTTGAACATACATAGAGCAAATAAGTTGCCAGAAAATGAAGCATGGAATCGTCTTTGTTGCTTCCTGTGGTTCTCTTTTAAATAATGATTAGTACTGTAGGGGTTTTAGTTACATTTCAAGGGATGTTGAATTTGGAGACCAAGTTAAAAAAAAAGAATTATAAAGATACGACAACATAATAGCATATAAAGATACATAATGGCAAAAGATAAGAAGGGTTTTAGATGTGACTATTTGATATGTTCATAGATTGTATTGAGATAAGCAT